TGCCCGTTTCCACATGAAGCCGTCACGGGCACGCGTGCCCAAACGTGAAGCCGCTAGAAACACGTCGCGTCACGAGACGTGAAAATTTTGGAGTAGATTGCATCAGCGTCAGGTCGACTGTTATATTGGGTTCAATGAACTCTTGTCGGCGGCGGCAGTTACAGAGCATTTCCCCCATCACTTCTCCAATAGGTAGAATGAGTACTCTGAATGCGACACTTGACGGACGCTGTTACTGCTTCTACCCATTCTGCGCGATTACACGTTTGTGCATAGCTGATCACTCCCAAGTTTGTAGTACTATCCATCATCGACCGATAATCAAGTTCACTCGGAGGGTAAAGTATTACTGCTTCCACCCATAGAGATCTTTACAACTCCCTCCGACTTGTGTAGTCGACTATGAGCCACCACCAAGCAACAAACGCTTATGTGGACGTCGAGCTGTTTGGAAACCCTCAGCTGTTCATCAACCATAAGAAGATTTCTGCATTCCAATATCAATCACATCAATAGTTTCCTAAGTTGATACGCATATTCATCTTGTAGTGCTAGAAGCAGCGTAAAAGCGCACACATATCGTGTTGACCATCCGGAATCAGCCCGTGCGCTGCGACAGCCCCACAGTGGGGCCCCACTGCCCCTTTGCATTGAGTTCAGTACGAGGGAAAATAGTAAACGATTTCCCAAATTCAGATATAACAGTGCCATTTCCTACCCACTCTTGATAAACACAAGTTTACAGGGTTTACTAAAAGAGAACTTCCATAGTTTCACATAGACTTCACATGCGCTATTAAAGTAAGTGCGGCATGTTCTTTACATACAAGAAAGATAATGACAGATTTGCCGTTTGCGGCAAAGCTATAGAGCGATGAATTATCGTTTCACATAATCATCACGACTTCATCTGACGATTACATTACTCATGGAGACTTGGAGGCCTCGTCAAACGCATCAGATGGGGATGGACAAGTACACTCATCGGTGGAGGATTCCTCAGCCACGGCCCCAGTTTTTCTTGGAGGCTCATCGAATGCTCCTAGTCGGCGTAGTTCGCTCCTCCTGACGAACCGCGGGATGATGAAGATCTCCTCCTCGGGACAGCCTCTGAAAGAGTAGCGGAAATAGTGCGAGGCGATCATCGGAAAGAAATTTACCTCTTGGAAAGTGACACGTCATACGGTGATTCCCGATAAAAGCCCGGCATACACCAGCAGACTTGCCTCTTCTCATACCAGTTATATCGACACCACTTGGGTGGGCTATCACGGGGATACCCTAAACGAGATGAAGTGAACCACTCATGGAGAGGGAGGGAAGGACATCATCCAACTTACATGACAGAGCACGGTGTAGCCACGGGTTGGTTGAAGGACAAGTCGAGTTGAGTCCAGAGCCATGAGGAGGCATCAATACGTATTCTTGTTCTTTCTCATAACATCTGCAAATCCAAACTATGCCAGAAATCCCATTGGGAAGCGTCACTCACAGCCAGTCACGGTTTTTGGTTCCATGGTTATTCCCCTTGTCATTCGGATCAAGTCGGCAATCTATAACATCCATCAAACGACAATTTGAAGCTCCTCTCATCCCACCGTATCTCTTCGGAGCATCGGTATAACCTCTGTCGTCTTGATGCTTCTCGTGTAGCCGAATGCAGAATCTACGACGCGACGAATGAGCGAGACGGGGCGGAAACGGAGGACTCACTGTTTGATTTTCTTCTTTCGAGCGCCGTAGGTCTCCGCGTCCTTCCACTTACCGTTGCAGTCCGACTTGCCATTCGACTTCACCCAGCCTCGTCCATTGGCGTAAAGAGCGTAATTGACGTTCCTCGTCGCGGCGTTAATCTTCGCCTCCCCTAAGAATGAGATCGAAAACGATCACCAGGCAGTTGCGATGGTAACATAATCGGCCGCCCAGTAGCTTACATCCCCTCTTCTCCTGATCTGGTCGCTTCAAACCTCCACCAACGACTACGTGTAGGAGGAGGAAGCCAGTAAGAGCTATGGATAAGACGGTTACCATGCAGACGAAGCTTACTACGGGAAATAGGTCTTTATAAAGAGACTGCCCACAGTTATGAAACTGCGCCCGCAATAGCACGCTATCCGAGTGAAAAACTCGTAATCAAGCTATTTGTTAAATGGTCTACATCCATGACACTTGAAACGCTCGGGCAGTTTCAGCCATTATCCGAAACGGGCGAAACCGTCACCTTAGACAACGCGTATTTACGACACCCGTTGCGAGCAGCAACAGTGCTCTTCTCTCGACCTTCCTCACATTCATCAAACACCAACAACGCACCCTGCATAGCGCGCCTAAGACCGACCCCTCGAGGCTACCCTACAGAGCGCCCCAGGGCGTTAACGCGGATCCTGAGCCCTATCGTAATTTCTTTACGATGCACCTTCCCCAGTACAGTCGTGATCCAAACACACTTACAACACAACTATACATCGATTGAAAATCTTATAGGAGCAGAAGTACTACGAGTTCAGACCCCAACACACTACCTACCGAAACAACAACAATCGAATAAGTTCAAACATGATCATCATCATCAGCTACTAGTATCAGCCAATGCGAGCCTCATAGAGGCTGCCGAGCCCTGTCGAGCAACTAGACTGGGCGTCGGCGGGGAGGAAGAATCACCGTCCTGACCAGCGGCGGCAGCAGCAGCAGACTTCAAATCAAAATCATCAACTTGTGCATAGACCAAGTTCATATCCTCCAAGTAAGCTTGCATTTGACGAGCTGATGTCCTCGCATACTCCTTGCACACATCCTCATAGGTCTTCCAGAAATCGTTATTCTCGCGCGCCCTCTCTCTGAAAACTGCCAGAATCCGCGCCGACTTCGTCGTACCCGACAACAGCCTCGCCGCATTTTCCCGCATATCCGACAACTTCGCCACCGATTGATCCACTCCCTGCCAAAACACCGTCACCTTGTGGAGGATCTGATCGATTCTTCGCAGTTTCCTCATCGAATCAGCGATGAGAGCAGCAGTCGGATCAGAACCACCATTATTCACCAGCTTGCGAGTCACCGCCAGCTGTGCTGTTGCCTCCGAGTCGCTACCACTAGGAATGTCACTTTTCCGAGAGGGAATAGACTCTTCCTCATCCGATTTCTTCATCGTCTCGTCTGAGACGGACCACGCTGCCCTTTCGCCCTGTGCTTCAAGTTCCTTGTCCGAGACCACAGCAGACTCATCCGAGCTCGACTCTGGTTTCTTTCGCTTCTCCGAATATCCACCAACATAGCCCGCTGCCAGGAATGGCAAATCCAGCAACTCCGCCACCTCGGAATCGATCGCGTCACCTTTACCATCCACCGCTGAAATAATCTTCCCATCAGAGGGCAGGTTGCGAAGCCTGTCCAAGAGGGAATCCAAACGCTCATTAGCCCGTTTCGATCGCCGACTGAGTGTCCTCCTGTCACTGCTATTCCCCATATTGCTGCTGTCGTTGGCGCTCGAACTAGACTCCACGAGTGATATCTTAGGACCGTCTGTAGACATCTTTACATCAGAATCAATGACTTCCTTAGCATCCATTATAGCCTTAGCAGTGATCTCCCTTTGCTGTGCTGATGGTATTCCAACAACAGTAGTCGGCAACCCCACTATAATCTTCTGCACCTTCCCCTCAAACTCCACATAGTGCGCATGCAGCTCCTCAGAGCTCGCCGACATTCCTTGTAACTTTGCTTTCACCGAATCCAGCCCAGCCATGGCCTCATCAGGCAGACCCTCCTCCGCGAACAGGACCATGTCCGACAGGTCCTTCCTGACCACCTCCGCAATGTCACCACAGCGACTCAGCATCACCGTCGTCTGCGTCTGGAGCTCCCGTGCTTCGAAAATCATCGCTTGAACTAGCTGAGCCACCACCGGATGATGCCGGAAATGTATATAAATTTGCTGGAAAATTTTCAGAATGTTCAGCTGTGCTGTGCAAAGTTCATCTAGACGGAAATCTTGCGCCGCCTTTTTCCCAAGATTCGCCGCCAAGTTCGGCACGACAACTCTGTTCGCGACATCAGACACGGGCGAGCGAGATCCTCCACGATTTTGAACTGCCAAGTACTCCTTTTCTTTATGACGGTCACCTCGTGTAGCCGAACTCCGAGACTGCGATATGTCACTAGTCTCCATCGGGTCCCCGCGAGAGTCCAAATGCTCGACCTGCATCCCATCGATCGGGGAATAATCATCCTCATCGTCGTCGATGGTCATAGGGGAATCTTCGCCCGGTTCGTGAAAACTAGCCAACGGGCTCGGAGCTTCCGCGATGCTCGTCGGCTTCAACACTTGTGAAGGCACACTACTAATAGTCGGTTCATATCCAATGGCCCTCGTGGTAAGAGTAGAGTAAAGTTCAGTGAGTTGTGGTACACGAGATTCTGGAACCCACACCTGCTGTAGAGCTTGGGCGGGAGGAAAATTGCGGAGCCAAGGATGGCCTAGAGCATCCTCGAGTGAGATCCGATCGTTGGGGTTAACGACTATCAATCTCGATACCAAATTCTTCGCATCTTCACTAACATGGTCCATCTTCTTGAACTTGAAGTGCCCTATCCGTATTTGGTCGTTCATGTGTTGTCCAGTGAAGGGATATCGCTTACCTGAAAGTAGCAGTAATATCAAACGGAGACTTCAGGGATGATAAAAAATGCCGAATACATTAC